GGTGGCGACCTCACGATGACGGGGGTATAAAGCTTAACATCTTGACCTTGACGGTAAGAGTTGATACACCATGGTGAGATGAATCTGGTTAGGTGCCGCCCTTTTAAAAACCGTTGAGGCTGGCGCAATCATTTTCGAGCATACATATTACCAACAACTATTCTTTGTCCAGTCAATACTATTGATTTCAAATTCGTGCATCTGTATTGGACAGCAACCATGCTAGTTAATTTCACTTTATTGAGTTTGCCAACCTAGCATTAGATTATTACTTAAGTGAATGTTACAGGGGCAGTCGAGAAATTATTTATGTTAAGGGTATTTTTAACACTCCTGATATTTTACTATATAACAAGTTTGCACTTAGGTTGAAAGTTCATTTGCGTTTTGAAGTTTATTCGAGCTTGAATGATAATACACTCATCCCCTAATTTATTTCAGAAGATTACAAAGTGATTACAAAGTTAAATAAAGTAAATTAAAATAAAGTATATTTTGAAATTACTTTAGAAAAGTTGTTTCCTAAAATTATGTTCAGTTTTCTTTGTTTTTATTTTTTATGCTAATTGGTACCTAATACAAATTTTTTATACTACAGTGACTATATCCAAGTTTATTAATTAGTAAGTTTATCAGCGCACCTACAAAACATCTAGTGCCTGGGTGTGATAAAATAAAATAAACATATTTTTTTATGATTTGTAGATTTACTACGAGTTTTTTGATGGAGGCACAAAAAAAAATGTAGACAATATTATTCCATCTCTATCAAATCAACACTTGCCGATGTGTCTCATATGTGAAAAAGCATTCAGTGACGATGCTATGAAGCCTTCAAAAATGGAGGGCCACTTGTTAACAGTACATGCTGACAAAAAAGTAAGCCCTTGTCATTCTTTCAAGCACTTAAGGAAAAACTAGAGAAAAGGCCATCTATAAGATCGATGTTTACGTCACCTTCTATGCAAGACGTTGATGGTTTACAAGCATCCTATAATATATCTATACTAATAGCGAAGTCGGGGAAACCCCATACAAGAGCAGTTTATTTTACCAGCCATTACGAAGGTCTTCAACAATGTGTTGCACAAGCCCGCATATGATATTATAAAGATAATTCCTTTGAGCAATAACACAGCTTAGAGACAAAAAGATGAGATGGGTCGAGACGTTAAAAACATTTTATTTAATTTCTTTTAGACTAACAGATACTCTCTCCAGTTGGACAGGACTACATTACCCGTCAATGAAGCTCTGTTGTTAGGATATGTTTGATATATTAAAGATAAAAATATGTGCCAAGAACTACAAAAATTACAACCTGTTCACAAATAAGCTATTTTTGAATCTGTGTTGGAATTTTTACAAGAAAAGATCCGATTTTGAAAGAAAATCTGAATAGTTTTAAAACAGATATTTATTACCCTACTGATATGTTTGGTATGTTTAACAAAGTTAATTTGCAAATACAGGGTGGCGACCTCAATTTGATTAAAACAAAATAAACTTATTACAAATGTTTGTTCATTTTTCAAGTAAAACAAGTGACATTTTCCGTTTTCAGCATTTACTTACAATAAAAATTCATTTAACTTATCGATTTTTTTAAATATTGTAAGTAAAAGCTGTAAAATGGGAAAATGTTACTTGAGATTACTTCAAATTTCATCAATTTTGAAGCCCGCTATTTTTTAAATCGCTTTACTTAATAGTGTTGTACTTTACCGACCGTGTCGAATTATAGTTTATCATATCACGCTTAGCGCGCTGCTGTCAAGGTCAAACAAACTATTTACAGGGAAAATGGCTACTCTGGATCCCGTAAAAACCAATAGTTGTGCACCGGTTAAACTTTTGTTATTTGCAACTATAATGAATGTTAGTAAGAAATATAATGTAATACCTCAATTAAAAATACCATATTTTTGTTCAAAGGCAATACTTAATTAGTTATACAGTATTAGTAGGACCTATTTGTGCTGTCTCGGCAGATTAGCAGTAATAAAAAAATATTGTATGTTGGTATCTTATTTATTTATTTATTTAAAGCACTTGTTTTCTATATCAATCCACTGAAGTATTGTCATTAACTAATTTTGATTGTTCATACCGCAAGGCTCCACTTAATTTCCGTATTCAAATTTATCCAGTCATTTTATTGAATGGAAACCGGTCTTATTCACATATGCAATAATCCGAACTGTTTTATATAATATAAATTTATAATTATAATTTAAATGACCAATTTAAATCCTCAACTCAGTTTTATTTGTTTGTACACAAGTAGTTATTAGATTATAATATTTAATTGTTTATCCTATTTACATTAAACTAATGAAGCTTGTCAAGTGCGGCAATTGTTATTCTATTTTATTTCGAATCATTTTATGGCAACAAATTTAAAATTGTTAATTATTCACTAAAATATTTAATTATTACAGATAGTTTGGAGAAATCCTTCTCTAGAGTGTTTGTAATTTTCTTTGAAATCCGTAAAACAGTTAGAAGTGAGAGCAACTACAGGTTATTGACTTACCGATTATACAGGGTGTTTCATAATATATGCGCAGGACTTCAGGATGTGATAGCTCGTCCAAAAATATGAAAAAACGTTTCTATTAACTTACTCTCTAAAATGCACCATTGTCGAGATACAGGGTGTTGAAATTGAAAAAAAAAATTCTACGCCACTGGAAAAAGTACGGTTTTGAGACGTCCATTTGAACCACCAATGTTTTCTACACAAAAAAGGTACTCCAGGTCATACGCTCTAAAGTCGACCGTTTTCGACAAAAATCAAATTTTAATGTTTAATGTTTAATGTCATACATACTTGATGAAACAAAATTTGATTTTTCTCGAAAATTACTAAACAGTTTTTTTTTCACAGCCTTATTTTTGTTCTCTAAATGGACCACGAAAAGCTACTTTGCATACAATCGCGGCATGCAGAAGCGTTGCGATAATTTTTTAAATATGAAGTTTTTTTGTAATTACTGGGAACAATTCTTTAACATTTAAAAAATGATTTAATATAAATTTTATATGAGACATTGTTATTATAAACATTTGCGTACACTTCTGTCGTAAAGCCCATTTTAAAAAACAATATAAACGTTGAAAAATTTGCAGCTTTTTTTGAACAAATATTTTACGTATGCTACTTTGTCTTTTATGAAATTAGTGATAAAATAGCATGATTTAGCAATTTGCATACAATTTAGATGTGTAGATATGCGGCTTTTTATGTAAATTTAATATAAAGTGACATTTTGTGTAATCGCAGCAGGCATCAAAATCATCTACCTTATTCAACTAGTTGTATAGTTGTATAATGTTGAACATTATGAAACTGGTTACGAAAAATTCATTGTCACCAGTTCCGAAAAGTAAACAAATATAATTAAACCTTTTTGTTTTAAAAACAATATATACATTATTATTAAAAGTTTATATCAAATAAAGGTAGGTTGACTTAAAAAAATAGAATTTGGTTAAACTGACGACCTACTAATAATATTTTTTTGATCCTTATTTTCCATTTTAAATCAGCACAAAATAATTAAAACACAAATGCACGACAAAAATAACCCACTTTATTTGAAAACTAAGTAACTTTAACTAATAATATAACTGTATTTCTTGAGGAATGCAATAAAAAAAAACATTAATAATTAATTAAACAACAAAATCTGACCGAAAGAAGTAAACGGGGCCCAAATTAAATAAATTTTAATAAAGTGCACACGATCTGTATCTGTAACGTATGGAGGGTGGGTTACCCCCGCGGCACTTAGGCCTCATTAGGCCCATTCTGCAGCCTCCTCAGATGATAGGCACCTTCTAGCTCGTGAGCCAGCCTACAGATTTTATGTAGTTGACAACGTCGCCAAGAGGTGCTTCTCTTATATCAGCCGGTGTTAGCCGATATTCGCCGAACACAAATCTTCTAATAAATGAGAGCGTTGGGAAAGCGTAAATTATATGCTCGATGGTCTCATCTTCTTGTTCGCATCCTCTGCAGAGTGCGGATTCTGACAGCCCCATTATATAGAGATGCTTTCGTACTTGGCAAGAATGCCTATGACTAGGGGCAGATTCGGTCTAGTCATAGTCAAGTATTTGTTCGCTGCAGCAGTGTTGTCAGGATAACTTAGGAGCTCCCTGGCAACTCTGCACTTTCTTGTTTCATCCCATCTTTCCTTGAATTTCACCAGAGAATGTTCTTTGATTAGGTCTGTCACCACCGATTTAGTCAGGTCAATAGAAGGGCCAGGTCCAAAAAATATTTGGTTGGCTGCTTTCTTGACTAGTGAATCAGCAAGACGGTTACCTTTCGATGTGGCGTGTCCTTTGATCCATCTTAAGGTGACCACATTGTTGATGGATACTTCGGCCAAAGCTTCGTGACATTCTAGTACTAACCCTGAGTAAATTCGTGGTCTGTTCAGGGTGAGTAGTGCTTGTCTGCTATCTGTATAGATAAGCATGTTCCTTCCAGTGATATTTTTTCTGGTTATTTCTTTTGCTGCTATGAGAATACCCGTTAGCTTTGTTTGAACTACACTGGCACTATTGCTCACAGCCTATTTTAAAATTGAATTTGACTTGAATTTGACTTGAATTTGACTTGAATTTGACTTGAATTTGACTTGAATTTGACTTGAATTTGACTTGAATTTGACTTGAATTTGACTTGAATTTGACTTGAATTTGACTTGAATTTGACTTGAATTTGACTTGAATTTGACTTGAATTTGACATGAATTTGACTTGAATTTGACTTGAATTTGACTTGAATTTGACTTGAATTTGACTTGAATATGACTTGAATTTGACTTGAATTTGACTTGAATTTGACTTGAATTTGACTTGAATTTAACTTGAATTTGACTTGAATTTGACTTGAATTTGACTTGAATTTGACTTGAATTTTACTTGAATTTTACTTGAATTTGACTTGAATTTGACTTGAATTTGACTTGAATTTTACTTGAATTTTACTTGAATTTTACTTGAATTTTACTTGAATTTGACTTGAATTTGACTTGAATTTGACTTGAATTTGACTTGAATGACTTGAATTTGACTTGAATTTGACTTGAATTTGACTTGAATTTGACTTGAATTTGACTTGAATTTGACTTGAATTTGACTTGAATTTGACTTGAATTTGACTTGAATTTGACTTGAATTTGACTTGAATTTGACTTGAATTTGACTTGAATTTGACTTGAATTTGGTATTTGAATTTGACTTGAATTTGACTTGAATTTGACTTGAATTTGACTTGAATTTGACTTGAATTTGGTATTTGAATTTGACTTGAATTTGACTTGAATTTGACTTGAATTTGACTTGAATTTGACTTGAATTTGACTTGAATTTGACTTGAATTTGACTTGAATTTGACTTGAATTTGACTTGAATTTGACTTGAATTTGACTTGAATTTGACTTGAATTTGGTATTTGAATTTGACTTGAATTTGACTTGAATTTGACTTGAATTTGACTTGAATTTGACTTGAATGACTTGAATTTGACTTGAATTTGACTTGAATTTGACTTGAATTTGACTTGAATTTGGTATTTGAATTTGACTTGAATTTGACTTGAATTTGACTTGAATTTGACTTGAATTTGACTTGAATTTGACTTGAATTTGACTTGAATTTGACTTGAATTTGACTTGAATTTGACTTGAATTTGACTTGAATTTGACTTGAATTTGACTTGAATTTGACTTGAATTTGACTTGAATTTAAATCAAACTCAAATCAAACCTAGCAGTGCTTTGAATCAAATCAAATGAAACTATAAAATTTTAAAGTTTTAAATATCAAACCTTTTAATCAAACTAGTTTAAAAGTTTGAATAATTAAATCGCTATGGTTTGCAAGTATTTTATTAGTACGAGTATAAAAAAAGCTGTTTAATACATGAAACAAAAATAAAGTACAGTTCATCAAATTTCTAGAGGTGTTTGACGCCCAGACAGAGAACGCGCTACGTGTGACTAAGATAGCTATTGTACAGTCTGCTAAACAAGTTATTTTAAATAGTGTTTAATATTTTTAGGTAATTAAATTTTAAAAGTGTGGAATAGTTTAGGGATTAAATTGGTCTGATTGGACTTTCTTAGAACGTTTTTAAAAGCAGCTAAAGATAGTATGTAGAATTGAAAATAATTATTATGCCATAAAAGGTGTTTTGGAATTGCTTCAACCTTTTGAAATTGAGTCAGAAAATATAAATTTTATAGGATAGCGGAAAATACCTATAATTTTTTTGTAGGCCTTTGTAAATCGTGGAAATAGTTTATATTTTATTTCTACCTTATTAAGGAAAATGGTACCTATTATTAATAACGGTTGTTTCTGAAACATTACTAAAATTTTCGAAATTTTGTTTTTCTACAAAATAATAAATTATACTATTTAGAAAAAAATTTATTTCTCTTATAATTTTATAAAAAATAACAGGGGAATATTTACATTTCTTGATCTATTAAACAAAACGATAAATTATCTCGACGAGTGACACCATGTTCTGGTACGGAAGCTAGCTTTACATTTTTGTTGGTGGTTTCATGGGTTTCATATCAATTTTTTGTAATTGTAGTTTACACGTACATATACCTCTTAACACTTGTTTGCTTTATTAAAAAAGTGTGTTGTTGTGATTTACGTCGAAATAAGTCAAAAACAACTTGAAACCCCATATAAAATCAAAAAAGAGAAACGGAAAAAAATTGAGCCTGTAAATGAACACAACTCAGAAACAAAAATAGCTATCTAATAATAAAAAAATAAAATTTGATTCTTGTGCAGCTTCATATATATCATTAACTGTTTTTGGTTTTTTAATGGTTTTTCTTGGCGATGAAAATTCCGATATCTCACGGTTATCGATTCTTTTTTTCTCTCCAGAAATGCGAACGGCAGTGTTTTTAGATACTCCTGTGGCTGCAGCAACACGATCATTTACATTTTTAAATGGTATTGAAGGTGAATTAAAGTTTCCTTCTCTTCTCATAAACTCTATAACATTGGCTATTATTTCGCGAGATTGACTGTTAATCACGCGGCCTCTTAATTTGCTATTAAACTCCATACTTAGGTTCTATTAAACTGTAATGGGCAAAAAACACAAACGAAAATAAAAGAAATGTTTTAGCGAAATTTACATCTGACATTTACGTCTGAATGAAATAGTGAAATACTTGATGCGCAGAGTGTACTTTCATTGCTTAAATCCGTCGGGATGCCTGTCAGTAGTGCTTTCTCTGTCTAGCCGTCGAAAGCCTCTAGAAATTTAATGAACTGTATTGGATATTAAAATAGAACAGAAATCTTGATTCACAAATTATAAATCTTGATTTACATTTTCATTTTTTCTTTATTTTAATGTTGAATTAAAGTCTGATAAAACTCCATTAGCCGTCCAAGAATTTAAAGACATTAAACATCTAACATATTCATTATTTAGTATATTCCTTCGTTTGGTAATTGATAGAGAAGCCCTTGACAAAATCCTCTCTATTGATGCCGATGTAGCAGATATGGCTAAGAAATTTCTAGCCATTTTAGATATTCAGATAAAAAACATTTTGTAATTTCATATTTCCAGGAATTTTCATCGACTAGGTCTGGGATTTTACCACAAGATGTTTGAAAGAAAGCTATTACATCTATATCAAAATTTTCGGAATCTTTACATTGGCTTTGGAAGGCTGATTCTGTTAATAATTCGTTTTGTTGAATAGCCACATCATCGGCTTCAGAATCATATTCATTTTCATCGGGGATAAATACTGAACCACCGGATTGAAATGGTTCAGGCTCGGACATTTCCAAATCACTCATTACTATTTTTTTCTAAAGAGATAGGTAGTCAGCATAAGCCTCTGGCTTTGTTTTGTGCCTCCGGCGCTTGGCAAAATATAAATCTAAAACAAATAATCTTACGACGACGCATCGTCAGCCGGGATATACTGTATCCCTTCTATGTCTCATTGTGTAACCCTGAAAAATTTAAAAAGCGTTACGGCCGGTGCCGGCACGTACACTTTTCGTATTTCAAACATTTTGAAAAAGTTTGATTTCAAATCAAGCTCTCGAATTGATTTTCAAATCAAATCAAATTCTTTTATAAAAAAAAAATTATTTTTCAAGTCAAATCAAACTAGTTTGATTTGATGCATCTCTATATGCAGATGCCAGGATTAACGTTCTCTTTTCCCTTTTGATGGCGTATTCAATCCTAACCGTAGTTAAATCGTAGGTGGAAAGGTGTGCCATTGAGTGGGCTTTGTATTTCCAAGGAATGTAAATGGCTATCCTAGGTTGCTGGTTGCCGGGGAAGGTAAAAATTGAATCATTTAGATAAAATTTTGGTTTTTATTATCCAGGGTTCCTGGATAAGTGCTATTGTATCTTGTAGATCGTCAAGGCGGCGGCATAAAGTTGCCGTAGCCGCCCTTTTGTGCTGCAAGTTACATTGTATAAACTTTACCTCTTTTAATGCTTCCTGGTCTTCCGTTGAAAACTGGGCAACAAGGTGGTTAATTATTCGACCATCCCTTCCTCCGAAAGTGGAGAGGGGGGTGGTCTCTTGTGGCTCCTCGGAGTTTTCTTGCTGGAGGTAATTGATTACCATTTTTTCTGGCTCAACGTCCTCCACCGTTGGCGTAAATTGGGGGGGAAGAGAGTCCTTTACCAAGGAGTCTTCACTGAGCCCCGCTTTAGCCTCTTTTTCGACCTTGGGCCTTATAATCAATGAGATGAACGCATAGCTCATCCTCATTGATTTGGTTCCCATGTCTTCGTCTTCGATGGCGAAGATGAAGAGATGGCATTTAGGGTCTTTTTTGATTTCACGGTGATAGAAGCACCATTTTGCCACATGCAAGTTTGGGTTTTGCCCCTCAAGTCGCCTGAGAACAACGTCTTTCTCATCAAGATCAGCTTGCGCTTCCCCTGGGATCCAGAGAGAGGCTCTGGTGAACTTGGAAAGCTCGTCCATCCTTACAACTGCGAGTGTTGCTCCTTCCCATGTTTTTATGGTCGGTACCTTGGTTTTTAGCCATTACAACGTCAGGTCATCGTCACAGGTTACTCTGATGATTTCACCAGAGTGCGGCCAAGACCTGAATGTGGGTGGCTTGGTTTTGCTGCAGGAGGCGAACAAAATTGTTTTGTCCAGCTCTCCCATCAGTGTCTTTTTGACAAGGATAATTAGTTCATCCGGATCGTCAGCGCTAATCATACGTCGCATGAGAAACGGCACTAACATTGTTAAATGTCATTTACTTATTAACTTAAATTGTTTTTGTTTATTTTTATAATTTGTTTTTCATCTGACGTTTTATAATTTGTATAAAATATCCTTTAATTCCAATGTATATTTCTACTTTAACGTACTTTTTCTTATTGTTCTGAAGATTATCACTGACCACAACTGATCTGTTTTTAATAAATAATTTTTGTGGTTAAGACTAAACTTTTCCTTTACATATATACCATAAGGTTAATAATAATATATGAATATATTAATATGAACAACCTTCATATTCATAAAATTTCCCTAATTTAAACATAAGCCATTCAAAATAATTGTCCAACTTTATTTATTATTCACCAAAAATTAATAACAAATAAATTCTGGAAACAGTTGTCGTTTTCTCTAAAAAACACAATATAAAATAAACAGAAGGCTAGGAACACCATTGACCCATGGTAGAATTGCCCTCGCTATTACCCTCTCCTGTTCCAACATGCAAAAATTAAACCAATGCGCAGCAATGTACCAACTATAGACTATAGGGAAATAAAGATGCCGAGTCACCAAATAAAGAAGGAAATGATAATTGGAAGGTGAAAAAAGATAGAACAAGTGACGCACGTCCTAATGCAGTCATTAGATAATTAAATGGTTTACTTCGGTCGCTAATTATATTTAAATTTTCTCTATTCAAAATTACCAACTTCGAAAAATGTAAACAAAAACTAAATCTTTGCAACGAGTTTGGTAGGTACAGTTATGTAGAATTTTATTTCTAATTCTACTTACCAATATAAGAATGGATTATGGTTTATTGGTTTTTAATGACTCAATAGGCATAAGGCTTTCTAAGAATTTGCTGTCAATACCGGAAAACACAGCTTAAATTGCTCAGTTCACGGTATTTTTCATTACAGAATAAAATTGTGGGAATTACCTACCTTTTATCTTTTTTTTTTGTTAATTAATATGAGATTGACAAAAGAATACTTAAAAACTCATGGTGTTCTCACATTTTATAAACAAATTGGAAATATTTATTTATGTATCAAGGATGCTAGGTGTAATTCAGAGGTAGAAAACACAGTTTGTAAATAGAGGCTCGTACGGTTGAGACCAGTTGATATTTGCATGTGTTAGAGATCTAGAAATTACTCTTAGATTAGATTTGGTTAGCACTTTGGGCCATGTACCCCTTCCTTTACAGATTTATTTTGGATATTGTTTGATCACTAGTTAGAGTACTTTATCTAGTTTGGTCTTTTCTAGTAGACTCCATGAACTAGAAAGTAGTTCTCCGGTGTAGCTAATTGCCCTTGGTGTTTCTTCTCTAAATGTAAGGAATCTCAGTATTGATTGACCTTTGTAGTAGCACAATATGTGTACTGCAGTTTCCTCCTATTCCACTATTTCTAAGATTTGTTTAATATTCCTACAATGCTTTATGCATGTTCCGATAGCGGTCTTTTAGACACCACACCAGGGTTCCGGACCGAAAAGAGCCTTTAAGACTTTTTCTCGGACTAGTAAATCAGCATAATCATTGTCCTCATGTTATCTGTAATCTGGTACCCAGTGTAATGTTAGTCATTTTTAAACATCCAAAATTGTTAGGGTTTTTGTTTACGTCTGTTGCGCAGTGATACATTGTTTCCTATTTCTACCTTAAATGCTGGCGCATGTTTACTTAAGCTTAGTGAGATTCTTGTCTTTGACTTGCACCTATTTTGTTGCCAAAATATCATATGCGTTTTCATTAGATGAACGTCGGTATATTGATTTTGAATATAACATTAAAAATTAGAAATGCAAGATAGCGGCTCGAATATGTTGCTCTAAAATATTAAAAATTAAACTACGCTGCAGATGAAGTGGGACAGCCATAAAATTGCCTAATTTTGACTAGCTATTACTTCGAGATTTGTTTGCCGATGTTAGATTTTCAGCCAGAAGTACAAAACACCATCCTTGGTGTTTGCATCAGTGGTGTCAATTAATTTTTTAATCCGTTCTTGTTGTACAGAGTGTGAATGTAAGGTAGCGATTAACGTCCGTTTTCTGGCAAAGAATTTGGAAAACGTGGGGGCTACATCTAATTCTTTCTGATGTTGAGTAGATTACTAGGTCGACACCTCGGGGTATTTTTTCCATTTGCCATTGTTTTGATACTTTGATAGACGTATTACCATTTCATGAACTTCCGTTCTTCTTTTAAAATTGGCCTTTTTTTATTTAAAGAATAATATATACCGACTAAACTGCATAAAGAAAGGGGTTTATAGAATAAAAAAAATAAAAACTTTTTATTTGAAATTTGTATCACTTTTGTTAAGCGTTACAGTTTAAAAGGTGCCATAATTGTAATGAGTCTGATTTTGACTAATTCAGAGGCGTACAAAAGTATAAAACCGTTTTTATGTTGTACGGCGCCAAAGTTTGCGATTTTCACATGTCAATATTTTAAAAACATTTTTGCGTGTCTCTGCAAGTTAATGGGGGTTCAATTTTAAGCTACTCACCCTGGATGTGCCTACTGATAGTGTCAGTAAGAATTTGCTTTGGCGAAACTTTATTTCTGCATTTTTATTAAGAAGGCAACAAAAATATTACCATAGAGATAAGGTTTTGACGTTGTAAGTGCCAGATATAAGATAACGTCTGAATAATAACGTATTTTATTGTCACGCCAAAATAACGCAAGTTACATAAAAACTACTAAAACGCTTAAGCACATAAACATTTATGTATTTATTCGTCCTGGTTGGTGTCAGTATCTATGTGTTCCAATATTACATCATTCTAATCATAATTAACGAAGTTAAATGAAAAAATCGTTTCCTGTAAAATTGACAAAATGTCGCTTACGTTAGTCTGTCAAAAAGGTATTGACTTGATTTCCTCTTTCTTCTTCTTTAGTTTCTCTCCGTTAAATATTAACCACATATACACCATATATACAAGATTTTAAATCCACGGTGCTTTAATTTTTCAGTTATATCTTACAGCTTGCAGGTAGGGTATAGGCACAGTTTAAAGAATAATCTTTAAACTGTGTTGTATGTTTCTAGCCATCACTTTTATTGGTTTGGTTTGTTTCGTCTCATATGAATGCAATTGATACCTTTGGTTTGAGAGATCTGTTGTCATTGTTCTATATTCTTGTTAATCTTTCTCGTTTAATTTAATTTCATCGTTATTTAATACAATGGTGTTTCTTACTCATTAGCTTTTGTCTTAACTCTTCCAAGTTTTAGACCTGAGTTACTATTATTGGTGGTGGTAATTTTTGTTTCGGTTGTTCTGTTTGTGCAATACTTTGTTGAGCGTTTTCATATGGATGATTCAATTTCGATTTTTTTGTACGTTGCATTGTTCTTTGGTTATGTTTTGAGGTGACACTTCGAGAGATTCTGACATTTTTCGTTTTTTGTTATTTCTTCTGCTTCTTTGTACTATCCAAGCTGTTCCTTTATTGACTATTTCTTCTTATGAGTCTGTTTCGCTATGCTGTTATTGTTATTGTTATTGTTATTGTTATTGTTATTGTTATTGTTATTGTTATTGTTATTGTTATTGTTATTGT